TCACTCAACGGCCTTGTAGTTCAGGCCGTGAACCTAACAGCCGAGACCAGTTCCTCTCTCGGCTACAATCGTTTGATTAGGAAGACGAGTTCAAACAGGCGCACCACTTATCCATCCAACACTCATCAACACATCGACCCAGGGTAGACCGTGCCAGCACGCCCGCGCACAACCGCACCGCACCCAAAAGCAGGAAACCGCGTGTTAACGCATATCCCCTCGGCCCGGAACTCCAGGCCGTGAGATTTGCGCGGCATACAAATAGCAAGGCATGGGTAGTGAAGTGAGAGCAAGTCATGAGCTACTCCAAGCACAAGCCCACATTTGGAACCACATTTTCAGCTTCATAAATTCTATGTCCCTCAAATGTGCAGTTCAATTAGATATCCCAGATGTCATCCAAAAACATGGCCAACCCATGACTCTTTCCGAGCTTGTCTCCGCCCTACCAATTTCCCCAACAAAAGCTCATTTCATCCCACGCCTCATGCGAATCTTAGTCCACTCCGGCTTCTTTGCCAGAGAAAGTCTGAGTGGCGGCGGCGAACAAGGTTATGTACTAACAGACGCCTCCGCACTCCTCCTGAAAGACAATCCCATGAGCGCAAGGCCCTTCTTACTTGCCATGCTCAATCCCATCTTAACCGATCCATGGCAGTCTTTGACCACTTGGTTCCAAAATGACAATCCTACGCTGTTTCACGTGGTGCATGGGATGACATTTTGGGATTATGGGAACCAGGACCCGATTTTGGAGTGTTGGTTGGACGTGTCGACAAGACCCAAATAGAGACTTTTTGAACAATAGGTGTCATTGGTCCTTATTTGACATCGAACGTCACAAATTTGGAGTTGTTTAGATTATTTGGACCTAGTCTAAAGTGCATTTTCATTATTCGGACGCGGAATCCTTGATTTGCGCGAAATCATCTGCTTTCCAACCAAGAAATCAAAAAATATTATCGGTCAAAAAAAAAAGCAATAGTGTTTCAATATTAATTGAAAGTAGGGATGATAAAAGACATGCAAGGTTGTTATATTATGGAGCTCTTTGTTTGAAATTTCCTCAGCATATATCTTCACGTCAAATCCAAGATTATAGAGGATTCCTCTTCCAACCCAGAAATCAACATGAATATACAAGATCACAGGCCGCAGAAATCATCTGCTTTCTTCCACTGGAGACCAAGTCAATACTTTTTCTTTTTTCGCGAAATGGACCAAGTCAATACCCAACACAAAATCCAAGTCGGAAACCAACGTGTAGATTGTAGCCGGATCCACTTGACAGGGCAAGACTTCAAAGTCAACAAGTCTATACATAAAGCACCGCAATAAAATCATGGTTACAACAACCGAGTGGGCAACAGATGTAACTCTGTAAAATATTTTGACAAGCATTAGAATCCAGATTGTTAGCACTAGCTCTCAATGACGTGGATTTTAGTATAATCTATAGGTGAAATTACTTCCATATTAAAAAAGCATAGTTAATAAAATACGGGACATAAAAAATACGAATAAAATGTTTACACATATTATCTAACAAAAAAAAAAGGAATATAGAGTATTTCAATATTAATTATTCAAAATTTTAGAGTGTAGTATTTTACTTAATAATATGTACAAAGATATGTGTATAATACATGAAGTTTACGTGTATTATTTAAAATTTTTGTAAAAAATACATATATTAAATGTGAATAACTTGTAAATATGAGTGTAATACAATCACTATATGCAAATTTTCTAACTAAATATCAAAGGACTATCCACACCACTAAGGAGATCATCACGTTAATTTTTTGGAAAATGAAATTCTCAATCTATAGATTATGCGTCAAATGAGAATGAATATGATTACCATTAATAAATCTTTAACTTGGTTTTTCACTTTTTTTTTTCTTTTGATAGTAATTAGTTAATTGAAGGAAGTTAGAAAAAAAAAAGTAAAAAAAATTTAAAGCGGTCCGATGTCATATAATTGATTGCACTTTTGCTTTTTTGATAGGGTGAAGCATATAATTGAAAGTAGGTTGGTAGGTAAAACTAAATGATATGCAAAGTTGTTATTGAAGAAAGTTGAGGGACCTCAAAAGCAATTAGCAATGGGAAAGTAGCTCAACTCCTTATAAATTCAGACTTAGTCTTTTAATTTTTCAATAAGGGACAAATATTCTCAACAATTATATAATATCAAAAGCGTTGTGCGAACTTAAATCCAAGATTATGGAGCTCTTTGGTTCGAAATTTCTTCAGCATCTTCGTGTCTGAGGTCGGACCAAACATCCAATCCAAGATTATGGAGAATTCCTCTTCCAACCTAGAAATCAACATGAACATATACGTGCATATGATATAATGGGAATCCTAGACCACAGAAGTCATCTGCTTTCTTCGACTGGGCCATGAGCTATGACTAATTGATCTTGGCCGAGTCAGTACTCATCCAAAAATCCAAGTAGGTAGGAAACCGTGTAGATTGTAACCGAGCCCACTACACAAGATAGAGCAAACTTTAATAACACAAGTTAATCCATAAATCAACATCACATTCACATCACAATTTCCACAATGTTCATGGTCTCTCAATCCGACATATCAATATCCCATTGCAAAAGAAAAGTGTAGAGCTTGCTTTTTTTGGTTGTTAAATATCTAAAAATTCGAGTTTAATTGGGTTTAACTTGGAATAAAATGCACTGAGAATTTCTGGATTAAAATATGGTGGTTGGGAAGTAAGCCAAAAGTACTGCATGCATGATTCAAGTTGATATTGCACTAGTGTATTAAACCCGCTCATTTTTTTTCGGAGCAACAAAACCTACAATTAATATGTTATTTTTAATTTTTCTTTTTATTATGGATAAACGCTTAATATTACACATAATAAGTGTAGTAAGAATTAGTTGAGAACTTGAGATATGGTCGAGTATAATTAGTCTCGTTGAACAATAAGAACCAATCAAGCCTTCTAAATCCAATTTCTAGCATACACTCATTCCACAAAAACAAAAGAACAAAAAAAAAAAAACATAATTTTAGCAAGCGGCAACGGAATGAAAAATACAAAAATTTCAAACTAATGTGCTAGCTCTAGTAGGGTAGTTAGGAACTAATGGTTTTCCACCTTGGTTCTTATAGTTTCAGCAGTTTGAGTCTTGTATTTTAGACAGAATTGAAAAAAAAATTTGACCGACTTGAATTGCAAAATATTTAATTTAAACACAATAATGATAAAATTGACATAATCCTAAGATTGATGTTTAAAAGTTGCTTTTTAAGATCAAATATATATGTATAATCATGAAATATATGATTCCTCACTCTTCCATTTGTATGATTTGTTCAATTCAAAAAAGAAAAGAAAAGAAAGACCTTTAAGCCAACCATGAATCTCGTGGAGGCCTTTTTGCAGGAACATCATTATTATTTTTGTTCTATCCCACTTTCCTGGTTACTACTACAAGATTAGTTATTGGTAAAAGACTTCAAGCCATCAGCGACGACAAAGTGGTGTCTTTTTCCAAATCCAATTAAAGACATTTTCATCATTTGGACGCAGAATCTTTGAGTTGCCCGAAATTACCTGTTGAGTTGCCCTAAACCCTAAACCTGGCTCTGATACCAAGTCAAACAATATGGTAGAATATTTTCAGATATATTTCATTCTCCGAAAGGAGGTATTTATAATACAAGGTTGTAAACCCTAGTAGGGTTAAACTAGGAAAAGAAGTGGTATCCTAATTACATAATGTCTATACAAAAGGAAATAAATAAAATAATATCCTAATAGAATAGGGATATCTCGCTAACACTCCCCCTCAAGTTGGAGCAAAGATGTCACGCATGCCCAACTTGTCAAGCGAGTTGAGAAAGATACTTGTAGAAACAGCTTTCGTAAGAACATCAGCTAACTGATACTCAGAACAGATGAAGGGGAAAGACACAATCTCCGCATCCAACTTTTCTTTAATGAAATTTCGATCAACCTCCACATGCTTTGTACGGTCATGTTGTACAGGGTTATGAGCAATTGCAATCGCAGCCGTATTGTCACAATATAAATCCATGGGTTTATTAGGCCCAAAACCAAGGTCTCTCAACAATTTTCTCAACCATAGTAACTCAGATATACCATGGGCCATTCCCCGATACTCGGCCTTAGCACTAGATCGAGACACCACCTTTTGTTTCTTGCTCCTCCACGTAACAAGATTACCACCAACAAACATAAAATACCCAGATGTCGAACTCCTATCTGTAACTGAACCTGCCCAATCAGCATATGTGTATCCTTCCACATCTGTATGACCATACTTGGAGAAAATTAACCCCTTGCCAGGAGTTACTTTCAGATACCTCAGAATACGAGTCACAGCCCCCATATGATCTACACTAGGAGAGTGCATAAACTGACTCACCATACTTACAGCATATGCAATGTCCGGACGGGTATGAGATAAATAAATCAACTTCCCCACAAGCCTTTGATAACATTCTTTATCAGTCGGAACTTGATCGGGATATAACCCTAACTTATGATTCTGCTCACTAGGGGTATCAATCGGTTTACAATCCAACATTCAAGTTTCTGCAAGTAAATCCAAAACATACTTTCTTTGGGATAGAAAAATACCATGATTAGACCTGGCAACTTCAATCCCAAGAAAGTACTTTAAATCACCCAATGATTTCATCTTGAACTCGGAAGCCAGATACTTCTGAAGACTCTGTATTTCTACATGATCATCTCCAGTCACAATCATATCATCAACATAAATAATTAAAGCTGTCAATTTACCTTTATGACGCGTCAGAAACAAAGTACGATCAGAGTTACTTTGCACATACCCAAACTTTTTCATGGATGCAGAAAATCTTCCAAACCACGCTCTTGGAGACTGCTTTAATCCATACAAAGATTTCCGTAGCTTGCACACCACACCCTCCTTAGAAGTCACAGGGATACCCGGCGGAAGATCCATGTATATTTCTTCCTTGAGATCACCATGGAGAAATGCATTTTTGACATCAAATTGTAACAGCGGCCAATCATGGTTAGCAGCTAAGGACAAGAGCACGCGCACAGTGTTGAGCTTTGCTACTGGAGCAAAAGTCTCCGTGTAATTCACTCCATAGGTCTGAGTATACCCTTTTGCTACCAATCTTGCCTTGTAACGGTCAATAGACCCATCAGCCTTGTGCTTCAAAGTAAACACCCATCTGCATCCAACTGCTTTTTTTCCTTTTGGTAGAGGAACAAACTCCCAAGTGGCATTCTTATTCAAGGCTTCCATCTCAATATGCATTGCATCTATCCAATTTTGATTAGATAGAGCATCCTGCAACTTAGTTGGCACACATACACTAGATAATTGACACAAATATGATGCATATGACTTAGATAAACGATGAGTCGACATATAATGGTTAATGGGATATTTGGACTTGGCATGTATATCAGGAGAATATTGTACTTTAGGATTTCCACGGGTAGTGCGTGGAGGGAAAGAATAAGTAGACACATCACTAGAAAGTATCTCATTATCACGAGTTGATTGGGGCAGTGGCAGGGCAGAGGGGGGGCTTGTATCAATTTCATCTGTATGAGAGTTGATAGTATCACTGCTACGTCCCTCTAATGAAGACTCAAAAAATTCCAGATTTTCACTCGGCGACCGGTCGTCACACTCAGGGCGATCGGTCGCTTCACTTGCATCGTCACTATCGTCGCTCATCGAGGAAGGCGACCGGTCGCTTACTTCCCTGCGACCGGTCGCTTCCTGT